TCGGCCGCACCCGTCCAAGAGTTGCTTCCGATAGTTCAAGTACCAGCCACCGCCCCAGTCGGAGCCATACCCGTTCCCGAAGACGACCAACACATGACAAATAATGCTTATGCCTCGAACCACCGTGCTCGCACACCAACTCAATTGTGCACGGAGCGAACTTATTACCAAAGCGGCGGTAGAAGAAGCGGAAACAGACTCTAGTATTTATTTTTTATTATTACAAGAACCATGGACCTCAGCAGAGGGATACCCACCAGAATCAAATCTCTTTTATATTTTTACAGCCAGCAACACCAATACAAAATGTGCAACATACGTCCACAAACATGCCAACCTCAAACCAAAACACCACTACACACACGATAATTTCATAGTATCGATTACGGTAGAAATCCAGAACAAGAAAACCCAAATCCTAAATATATACTCCCCAGGCCGAAGTGGCCCCTTTGCCCAAATAGCAAAAACAATCCAAACCCTCGACAACTGTCTAGTAATGGGAGACTTCAACTGCCATCATCAAATGTGGTACGGAGTAACATCACATGAATACAGAAACAACATCCGAGCAGACCGCGCCAACGGTGCACGGCTAAAACAATGGATAACTCGACAGAAATTGACCCTCCTGAATGAACCAGGCGTCTTTACGCACTTCCCCAGAGACAGAGGAAAAAGGCCTACAATTATCGACCTTACATTTGTAAAAGGCCCAACTCTCGACCACAACCTACGATGGAGCACTGAACCCTATGGAGCGGGCTCAGACCACGGGAGAACCTCCGTTCACTTACACTTGGAAAAACCACCATTCGTACCAAGACGAATGTGGCGACAAACAGACTGGAAGCTCTTGGAGAACAATATGTCAAACATTTCTCTCCCTGCAGAGGCATGGGAAACCAAGGAACATACGGAACAAACTGTCGACTTCTTCCTAGAACTGGTCAGGGCAACAATCAGTATAGTAACACCACTCTCGAAGGAAGGAGTAAGAGCCAACTCCTGGTGGTCAGAGGAAATGAAACAAATGAAGGCAAGGGTAAACGCGGCAGAAAGGAAGGCGAGAAATACAAAGAAACCCAACCACGCGGAGGAGCACCGGAAGGCATGCAGAGAATGGACAGTCATGATCCGGAAAGCAAAAGCGGACCAGCGGGAAAAGACGATGAACGAGGCGAAAGGTAGTGAGGTCTGGAGAATCCTAAATGCAGGAAGGAGAAGAGACACAATCATACCAAAAATACAGGGTGAAGAAACGTTTGCGGGGAAGTGTCAAGCTTTAAGAGCCCAACTTTTCCCCTCAAAATGGACGTCCCCCGACCATCCCCCCCTAAACATTAGGCCCCCCTCTTTTGACCTTAGCAACACCTTCGACATAGTCACCCCCGAAGAACTTAATAAAGCAATCGACTCCTGTCCAGCGCACTCGGCGACCGGCCTGGACGGCATCCCCTATACCTTTATCAAAGCAATAGTGAGAGCAAACACAACTCTAATTCAAGACATGTTCTCTGCCATGCTCCGGCACGGGGTACACCCAGCGGAATGGAAAATAGCTAAGTGCATCCCGATCCCGAAACCCGGCAAAGCAAACTATCATGAAGCAAAAGCCTACCGGCCCATTTCCCTTCTACAATGCTTCAGCAAAATTCTGGAGAAGATAGTGGCTCAGAGACTCTGCACCGCTGGAGAAATCCTAGGCACACTCTCAGTGAATCAATTTGGAGGAAGACCAACCATCTCGGCAATCGACGCCCTCCTGAGAACCTTAACACCAATACAACAAAACTTACTACTGAAAAACAGTACCGGAATCGCTCGGCGAGACAGACCAGCGATCCTAACCAACGATATCCAAGGAGCATTTAACTGCGTCGACCACCTACTCCTCGCGGAAATCATGTACCAACAAAAATTCCCTACCTACTTAACATAATGGTGCAAGGAATTCAATACCGGCAGAAAACTACAGTTTCAATTTAACCATGAGCTAGAGGAACCACAGCCCTATGATTCTGGAGTGCCGCAAGGTAGCCCCATGTCCCCGGTACTATTCATGATCTATGCTGGAGTAATCCTGGACCCAACAAGTAGCCCGAAAGAGATGGACACCATATATATCGATGATGATGCGCTGGTGCAAATATCTAAAACACCAGGCTTCACAATCAAGAGAATGGAGGAACGAATGAGAGAGAGACTAATAAAAGCTGAGCCACTCCAAATTAAGTATGACCCGGATAAATCCGACCTGATCTTCTTCCGGCCCACCACATCATCCATACAACAACCACGACCTCCGGTCAAAATTAACAATACCAACATATACCCCAAGGAGAGGCTGAAATATGTAGGAGTCTGGATAGATCCGACCCTCTCCTTCCGGCCCCACATCGAAGCAGCGATCACAAAAGGCCTTAAAGCCCTCCACCAGATTCGATACACCGCTCGCATGCCAGGAATAACGGTTAAAACAATCCATCACATCATAACACAAGGCTTCCTCCTAAGTCTACTCTACGGATCCGAGGCTTGGTGGACTGGCGCAGACCACATTATAAGATCCCTCGAACCACTATATAATGAAGCGGCCCGAATCATCACCGGCCTACCACGATGGACCAAAAGAACTAAACTCCTCCGAGAAGCAGGCCTACCCCCCTTAGAACATCTCCTGACATATCGCTCAAGAAAGTACGGAACTAGAATACTCTGCACCGACGCAACCCACCCCAACAATGAATCCCTGATCGAGCTCCTCCCATACAGAGAAGCAAATATCAAAGGAACAGGCTTACACCGAATCGCCTCCCTACTACTCCCATACCAGACCCCCGGAAATGCGAGAGATAAGTGGAACCAAAATAAACTACTACGCGACCACCTGCTGGAAGAATGGAATACACAACCAATACCGAACTACCACCATCGGGGGGAATTCCGCCCCCCCTCCTAAGATTGCGAAACTCACCCTTACGGAAGCAAAAAAAGTATTTCGAATCCGGTGCCAAACCACCCGAATCGACAAACACGCAGTACACACAGACCCCGAACTATGCCAGTGTGGTATGGAAAACTCAGCGAAACATATACTTATGGAATGCCCAGCGTGGGCTCGAATCCGCACCCCTCTGATAGAAAAGATCCCCGGAGCGATGAGCTGGGAAAACTGGATGTTTACAAACCTGAGAACGGACCTCATCCTACAATTTGCGAAACAATCTCAACTCTCGAAATGGTACGAGTCGGCGGAGGCGGAGGCGGACCTGGAAGAGGGGATGGAAGAAAATGATTAGGGACGGGATTAGGAAGGGCAGTTTCCTTTTACTCTTTAAATTTGTTTTTTATTTTCTGTTTTGATGGATCCAGCGCTCGAGTCCGCTGAGATATGTTATTTCTCCTTGTCGTTGGGCCTTCTGGTCGAAGTGTTGTCCTGGAATTTCCTCGTTATTGTTCGTGCTCGCTTGTGCTTGTTTTGTTCTTGTTCTTGTTCGTTTGCGTTTGCGTTTGTTGTTTTCTTTTCTTTCTTTCTTTTGTTCGGTTCGGTTCGTGTCTTAGGCGGTTGGGTCGGCATGCAATAAGTCTTGTACTTCGAAGCAATATAAGTTTCTTCTTCTTCTTCTTCTTCTTCTGCATTCTACTCGCTCGCCTCTGGCTCGCGATAGGATTTCTTTCCCCCGAGATGGAGTTATACTGATTCTCGAATTGCTTCGGTCCCTGAACTTCCCTCGCTCGACCCCTCCATTCTTTGCTCGTTCGGTGCCCTCAGGGGTCGCGTCCACCGTTCACCCCTCGCCAAAATAACGGCTACTCTCGAAAGCCGTCTTTGCCCCTCCTTATTTTCACTCATCGCACGAGTGATCCCACACGTCGGGTACGCACACTGTCAGTAATCTCCAGTCAGCGAGAACCTACTGCCAAAGCGCTCGACAGCCAGCGAAGTTAGCGACCTCTCGGTCGCGAAACTATCGTCAAATTTTTACCCGAGGTCCCGTGACCTTACCCCTCTTTATCGGCCTTAACCAGGCAACCCTTTTTACCCGAGGCGGCCCGCTCCCCTCACCACAACCCAACCGGTCTCCGAGACCACCCTCAACACAACACGGTCGGCGCTTTCGATTGCGACCCCCATACATACTGAGCCTTCGGCTCAACCCTTTTTGCATGTCCCCTCCAGAGGACACCACTACAAACACGACTCAGGCACAGTCTTTAGCCGTTGCTCCAGGGACCGACGACCCCACCCACTCCTTACTTGACCAACCGGTCACCACTCCTCAATTCCTCGCTGCCTGACAACCAGAAGCTCGAGGACCCACATTCGACCCACCCCCCCTCGCTTTCACACCTGACGCTGTTGCGGTTGGCCTCTCCTGCCTTCGTGCGCGTGGTTTCCCAGTCCTGTTAAGGTTCGTCCAGAGATATGACACCGGGAACGTTGGTAATGATATCGTTTCGATTGAACACTACGTTTAGGATTGTGCTCGCTAATGCAGTTGACGGAGAAGTTTGGGGTTCTTACTTATTTACTACGGGAAGGTTTCTTTGTTGTCGCTTAGATTCTGCTTACCTGTACCACTTGTTATTCGCGCCCTCTTCATGCGCTGTTTTTCTCTTTTTATATACGTAGTTCTCGTAGCTGCGGTAGTTAGTTTTTGTAATTTGTTTTTGTTTTCAGGTTAGTCGGTGGAGGTTGTAGTCGGGTAGTTAGGTGTGCGATAAGCTTCGGCTTCTAAGCAATATAAGTTTCTTCTTCTTCTTCTTCTTCTTCTGTATTCTACTCTACGAATATTATTCTGGTTCCACGGTACGTCAGAGGGTTCAGTTGGGTTGTTAGACCAAACAGAGCTGCCCCATAGTCCATAGTCTTGAATACCCTCTACTACGTCTTCGTCTCGGTTGTATTCCTTGGCACTATAGTCCATCGTCCATAGACCCACGTTATACGTAGGTTACGTCCTCAATTGCCAACCAATACAACACCATAGTCTACAATGTCGGAACATGTTCATATCGATTATCATCAACTCAACGATAACCTCCAAAGATTTTTTCAAGCGCATCCACAGGTCGATAACGTTGTCGGAACTGAAGCCTATGTATGTGCTTCTTCAACAGCGTCAACATAGTCTTACTCAATATGCAACGGATTTACAGGAGGTAGAAACGGAGGCTGAGAGGGCAAGAAGGATGTTTGAACGAGATCTTGCTGCTGCCCGAGCTCAACGAACTGCTGTTGAGGTTGTGGCCCCTGACGAAGAATCCATTGGAAACAATGCTCCACCTATACCACCAGCTACAGGCACCATCTATGGATCGGAGATACTTCCAAATCCTGGAGTGTTCAGGGGGGATCGTGATCGAGACAGGCTACACTTGTTCAAGCAACAAATGAAAATCAAGCTAATGGGAAATACCGATCGCTATCCTACACTACAGTCTAAATTATCCTATGCGTTCAGCAGATTGGAAGGCGTTGCTGCCAATCAGTTCTTACAGTATGTCGGAGAAGAAGGTATTGCCTTACCTTCTATGCTACGGTTTTATCAAATTTTGGACACAGCCTTTGGGGACCCCGATCGAATGCGTACAGCCAGAAGGAACCTCCGGAATATCCGTCAATGAACTTGAACCTTCGCTGACTATTTCGCTGAATTTCAACGGTATGCTGCTGAGTCGGGTATGGATGAAGCCTCTCGGATTGAGGCTTTGATGGAAGGTATTAACATGGAACTCGATGAATTAATGATACACCATGAAACTCCTGCGACGGTAGATGCCTGTGCGACAGTTTTGCAACGGTTGGATAATAGTCGTCGAGCGCCAGAAGCTAAACGAGGAAATAAAAAACATTGGAATGCTACTACTACTCCGGCCCCTCGTCCCCCACCAGCGAATCCTGTTCCTGCTCCTCGTGTTGCTGCCCCAGTCGCCAATGCACATGCTACTGAAAATCATCCCTCGTTCCACCCAGGAGGTGATGTACCAATGGATCTATCTGGAGGACGTCGTCTGTAACGGGGGTCCTTTCTAAGAGAAATAGAATCGGATAGAATAGAGACGGCCGTGCAAGATAGACAATCAGGTTGCAGATTATTTAAAGATACTATCGCTAGAACTCAATAATCTTTAAGGGCTCTGCTACCGATAAGAACTTGGTTTTTCTTTCTGATGAAGACTGGAGAGAACAGGACTGAAGGGCGAGAATGAACCTGAGTACTTATACTCCGAAGGCCTCTATTCTCTGCTCCTAACTCCTTACTAAGTTCCGGCGGGGCCTTTCCTTGGTGCCGGAAACAATACCACCGCTACCCCGCTTTTCTCTAAACGTTAGTAGGTGTTTCCGATACCCAAGGCAACCACCCTTAGTCAAAGCCTTTGCAACACCTGCAGCCTTGGTTGCCACACAACTGGGGCCTGTATGAATGAGCTGCCGCTCAGATGTAAGCTTAATCATTACTGTAGAGCTTTTGCTTATTGTAGACTTCCCTAGCATAGTCCCTGCCTCTTCAGCGGACATACAATGCTCAAAGGATACAGAAGATCACCGGGCAATCAGAGCTTCACTCTGGCCAGTCTTCTAGTCACTGGCGAGGCATAGACTCGTCAGTCATTGCTCCCATGAATAGATCCTCTTCCTAGCGCCCGGAATGTAGTTACTCTAACAGCTGGTAGCTAACCACACTGCCGGTACTTGCATATCAACGTGCAACTGGCTTCTAACAATAACTCTCAGCATGTAACCGGGCCCTGTGTGTACTCATACACCAGACAGTTGAAATGGCTCCATTACATCGTCGCCCCACCCCTGCCGAAAGAAACGCTCGCTTAGTTGAGGGCCGATGTTTCTATTGTGGAGGTGTTGGACATATGGTTAGGGACTGCCCCCAAACGAGGGCAACTGGAAATCAACCAAGGAGGCCTGTGATGTGAGGAGCGGCATTGACGGTGGAAGAAAATGCCGGAAGCGATAACGAGTCGGCAAAAGATTTGTCCCTACACTAAGTGGCTTCGCCCAGGGACCATTTAAGGATTTTTCTAGGATGTGTATTTCTAGTTTTTCGGTATCAGAGGAGGAAATGGATGGAAATCAACTTGTAGTAACTTGTTCGATTTCACAGAATAAAAATTCTTTCGTACCTACCTACGCCCTTATTGATACCGGAGCATCAGGATATGGTTTCATTGATGAATCTTTTGCACGCCACAACAATTTTACAATGACTCCCCTTAAAATACCTCGACATGTCGACGTTATAGATAGAAGGCCTATTAAGTCAGGAAAAATTACCCATATTCTCGATGTCTCGCTAGACATTCATGGTCATCGGGAGACAGCACCATGTTTTGTGACAAAGTTAGGACACTACCCTATTGTGATGGGGATACCTTGGATGTGACGACATGATGTTACGATTCGACCAAAAGAAAATCTACTTGTTTTTGACTCTCGGAACTGTTGTCGACACTGTTCGCTTAGTCGCACTACAGTTATCGTTCATGGCATCTCGATTCCCTTACCAGAACACCATACAGTCATCGTTTCAGCAACTGAAAAATCTACCATCGACATGGAAGAATTAGTACCGAAGGAGTTTCATCATCGTCTTCATATGTTCAAAGAATATGACGCTTCAATCCTTCCACCACATCGACCATCCCATGATATTGAAATAGTGTTAGAAGAAGGCAAACGACCACCATATGGACCTATATATGGATTGTCTCAAATCGAGTTGAAAGCACTATGGGAATATCTTGATGAAAATTTACCCAAAGGATTTATTCGGGCTAGTGAATCATCAGCGGGAGCAGCTATATTGTTCGTAAAGAAAAGCGATGGAACCCTTTGATTTTGTGTTGATTATCGAGGCCTAAATGCGATAACAATCAAAAATCGATATCTATTACCATTGTTAAAGGAAACCCTGTCTAAGTTGTCAAAAGAACAATATTATACTAAGTTGGATTTACGTTGGGGATATAATCAGATCAGGATAGTGGAGGGAGATGAATGGAAAACGGTATTCCGGACTCGATATGGACATTTTCAATATACAGTAATGCTATTTGGATTAGCTAATGCCTGTAACGGCAGCCATGTGGTTTAGTTAGGCGAGGTGTTAGGGTACGAAGAGGAAGCGTTGTATAGTGTGGTTGGGATTTGTACAGCGGGTTTCTTTTACGTTCTGAATGTTTCTGTTATGCGAAGGTATGAGTCAGCATTGGGATTGGGTATGGATATATAAGGGGGGTGTTGTCTTGTGATTCTTTTGTTTTCTTTCCTTTCCTTTTCTCTTTATGCAACCTCTGTACTTTACGGTCACAAATACTATTTGGTTCGTGCTACGTCATAGGGTTTACCCGGTATACTAGACCAGGTACAACCATCCATAGTCCATAGTCCACAGTCCCCGTTCTTGCCTTAGGTGTACCCTTCGGCCTCATAGTCCATAGTCCACGAACCTCCTACGTCCACATCTTCACCTCGGTTGTATTCCTTGGCTTCATAGTTCCTACGCCCACAGTCCCCGTTACAATGCCCCTGCTACATTTCACCATTGGATCAATAATATCTTACGTCCCTATCTCGACCAATTCGTAACGGCATACTTGGATGATATCCTTATCTATTCCGAGACGCTATCGGAACATAAAAAACACATTCAAAAGGTTCTAAGGGTACTTGATGAGAATCATGTTCACCTTAAACCTGAAAAATGTGAATTTATAGTTCAGGAAACCAAATATATTGGTTTAATCCTTACTCCGAATGGGAATAGAATGGATCCAAAGAAAGTTATCGATGTTTTAGAATGGTCTACACCAACGAACCTTCATGATATTTAAGTATTCCTAGGATTTACAAATTTCTATCGACGGTTTTTTCTAGGATATTCGAAAATTGTTGCTCCGCTCACAGCTTTGACAAAGAAAAATGTTAAATTTGAATGGACAGATGAAAGGGAGGAAGCATTTCAAACTTTGAAAAAGATGTTTACAACGGCACCGATACTAGCTCATTTTGATCCAGACCGGAGGATTGTGGTAGAAACCGATGCATCCGACTACGTTTCAGCAGGAATTCTATCTCAACGTGATAATGAAGGAATCCTACATCCAATCACTTTCTTCTCCAAGAAACATTCTCCTGCAGAATGCAACTATGAAATCTATGACAAAGAACCTTTAGCAATCATACGATGCTTTGAAGAATGGCGACATCACCTGGAGGGAGCTTAATTCCCAATTGAAGTTTCTAGCGACCATCGGAATTTTGAATATTTTATGACAACAAAATTGTTAAATCGTCGACAAGCCCGTTGGTCCGAATTCCTTTCACGTTTCGATTTCGTTATACAATTTCGGCCACGAAAACAAGGAACGAAACCAGATGCATTGACTAGGAGGTCAGGTGACCTACCTAAAGAGGGGGATGAACGGTTGACGCATCAGAGTCAAGTGATTTTGAAGCGAAAAAATTTGGATACTAAGCTAAGTTTGTTCGCGGGTTCTTTGTCAAATGAATCCGCTGAAGGAGCGTCTACTGTAGAGGAGTTATTTTCAAAAGCTTACCAAGTTGATAGTTTTCCAAACAAGATCCTCACTATGCTTCGGAATGGCGTTCGCCACTCGAATAAAGTTTCACTTGCCGAATGCACGGAACATAATAACGGTCGGCTACTTTATCGAGGCACGCTATATGTACCAGATGACAATCACCTTCAGTTAAGGCTTTTAAAAGAAGACCATGATAAACCATCCGCAGGACATCCGGGTAGAGCAAAGACATTGGAACTTCTAAACCGAGAATATTATTGGCCACAAATGCGAAAATATGTCGACCATTATGTTAGGAATTGCAATGTGTGTATCCGTAGCAAGACACCACGCAATGCACCTTATGGAGTACTCCGTCCTATGCCAATACCTGAGGGACCGTGAATGGATATATCGATGGATTTTGTAACCGACCTCCCTGAAAGCGACGGATATAATGCAATCTTAGTTGTGGTGGATAGATTAACCAAAATGCGACATCTAATACCAACGACTAAAGAGGCAGATTCAAGGGAAGTAGCGAGGCTATACATCGATAATGTTTGGAAGCTACATGGACTACCTAATACTATTGTATCTGATCGAGGAATACAGTTCGTTGCGGAGTTTTGGAAGTCGCTTTGTAATCGGTTGGAAATATCACTGAAATTCTCCACCACCTTTCATCCTCAGACAGATGGGCAGACGGAAAGAATCAATGCTGTAATGGAACAATACCTTTGAAGCTATGTATCTTATCAACAGTACGATTGGGCTCGATTGATATCAATGGCCGAGTTTGCGACAAACAACCATGCTTCGGAAACAACAAAAGTTTCTCCTTTTTATGCCAATAAGGGAAGAAATCGAAGGATGACTTTTGGTCCTTTGGAACATGATCGAACGACGGCGGAGGATCAAGCTAATCTTATTGCAAGAGAAATGAACGATGTAATGGATTTTCTAAGAGAAGAGATGTTTCGGGCGCAAAAGATACAAGAACAGTCAGCCAATAGGAATCGCACTCCAGCTCCTCGTTACCATTTAGGAGATAAAGCTTTCCTATTGACCCGTCATATTCTAACAAAGTAGCCTTCTAAGAAATTCGACTGGAAACGTAATGGACCTTATAGCGTTAAGCGAATTATCAATCCCTATTCTTACAAGTTGGAACTTCCCCAGTCCATGAAAATTCAACCAGTATTTCATGTTTCATTAATGTCACCCGAAGCAAATGATCCTTTACCAGGACAGCAATAGTTACCACCACCTCCGGTCGAAATAGAAGGGGAGGAAGAATGGGAAGTCGAAGATGTTTTGGATTCGAGGAAACGAAGAGGAAGGTTCGAGTATCTGGTACGATACGTAGGGTATGATGAAGCCTCCTGGCAACCACTATCTGACCTTGAGCATTCACATGATATCGTCAAACGATTCCATGAGCGTTATCCCGGGAAACCTAAGCCTACCAGAAGGTAGGCCTTAGCGGAGGGCGTGGTCTGTAACGGCAGCTATGTATTTCGGTTAGGTGATAAACTGGAATGAGGAAGAGGAGGTATTGCGTAGTGGGATTAGGATTTGTAATTGGGATTTCTGTTATGTTCTTTTAGTTTCTGTTACACGGAGGTATTAGTCATTATTGGATTATGGTTGGATATATAAGGGGGGCATTGTCTCGTGCTTTTACCTGTTTTCTCTTTCTCTTCTTTCTTTATGCAATCTCTGTATTCTACTCCACGAATATTATTCTTGTTCTACGCTACGTCATAGGGTTCAGTTTGGTTGTCAGATCAAACGGAGCCACCCATAGTCCATAGTCACGAACATCCTCTACTACGCTCTTGCCTCGGTTGTATTCCTTGTCATCATAGTTCCTTGCCCATAGACACACATTATAGCTGCTAGTGGGCCTCTTGCTGGGCTTCTTGCTGGGTCTTGATCGTCACTTATGTATGGTTCAGAGAGTTCGGAACCAAAGTTGGGAAATGATTCAGAATGAGTTAGGGTTGCTCCCTAGTTACTCGGGAAAGTCCTTTTAGTGTCCAATGGAGCTAGGTTAGTATTTGGTGGAGTCCGGAGTTCAGTCCGGATTGGTGAAGGTAGGGGGTTTTGCTTTCAGCTCTTTTTGATAGGGGTGAACCCGGAAAGCACTGACGACTGCCTCGGGAGTGTTTCTTGTATTTTCTCTGGAATAGGCTTGACAGTTTTGCCAGACGATTTGCGACCAGATGAACTTAGGTGTTTCTTATGTTTTCAGGATGATTTGTATTTCTTGGTTTCTCGTTGGGTCTTTTCTTATTGTCCTCGTCTATGTGACGCAAGTACTTCTTATTGGAAAGTTTATTTGTGTTATTGGAGCTACCGGAAGTGCTCTGAGTGGTGTTTGGAGTTTGATAATTGTAATGTATCACTGTGGTGAGTATGATTCTGATATTAATTGGATTAGGAGGGAGAATTACCATCTTATTTATAAAGATTGCAAAGGTTGAATCGCTTGAAAATGGAGGAACTTGAAGGATAAGATTGCAACAGCTAATGTTGAAAGCAATTGAGAACTTGAAGTGATAGGTGGAAGAGAACTTGAAACTGATTAGGAACTTCTCACGAACTTGAAGGAAGGGCGGGGTGTTTTTATACCGAGTACGATCAGCTTTTTTCTTGAGCTCATCATGATTCCGAAAGCACCTATGAATGCTCTAGAAGCACTCGAGGATGCTCGTACTCAATGTTTGCTTCAATATATGATGTTGATAATCTAAATACTCCAGGCACACTCGGGGATGCTCGGGCAGTACCAATGGTGACATCAATAATATTCTGGTGTTGGGGTTGGTATTTGTATTCTTCTTGGTATTGGTGCTCTGTCCTCTAGGAAGTTGATTCAGAGAGAATGTATTCTTTGATCTCATAGTCGATATTAGTGTTGAATTTGGCGCTGAGAACACTGTCTCGATCTCAAGAGACTCCGCGAGTGCTCAGGGAGAGAGTGCAAATACTCGAGGCGATATAATCTAGCATAACTGGCCACCTGATTGGGATGGTGGGTTGTAACGGCAGCTATGTGGTTTGGTTATGCGAAGTGTTGCGGTACGAAGAGGAAGGGTTATGCAGTGTGGTTGGGTTTAGTGAAGTGGGTTTCTTTTATGTTCTTTCTGTTTCTGTTATGTGAGGGTATGAGTCAGCATTGGGATAGGGTATGGATATATAAGGGGGGGCGTTGTCTTGTGATTTCTTGTTTCTCTTTCTTTTCCTTTTCTCTTTATGCAACCTCTGTACTTTACAGTTACGAATACTATTTGGTTCGCGCTACGTCATAGGGTTTACCCGGTATACTAGACCAGGTACAACCATCCATAGTCCATAGTCCACAGTCCCCGTTCTTGCCTTAGGTGTACCCTTCGGCCCCATAGTCCATAGTCTACGAACCTCCTACGTCTACGTCTACGTCTTCGCCTCGGTTGTATTCCTTGGCTTCATAGTTCCTACGCCCACAGTCCCCGTTACACTTAGGTTGCATCCTCTACAGCCAACCAATACAACACCGCATCGCTTAGCTCCGGTCGCGATCATGTCCGACACCACTCAAGATACGTTGTTGCAGCGTCTTTCAGAATTTCTGACCACCTATGGTCCCCTCCCAGCCGATATAGACTTCGGCGAAGAACTTACCGAAGCTCATGGTCTCATTGCTGAGTGTTTGGAGGCTCTCACCAAGCCTCTCGACACCCCCATGCCACCAGAACTCGTCATCGATACGGTCCAGGAAGAGGTTATTATCAACCTCACCACAGAACTAGAAGCAGCCAACGAAAAGGCTGCCGATTTTTGGCAAACCTTGTGCGATAACCAGGAAGATTCTACCGAGATCATCCGAGGTCGCGACGAGGTTATTGTTGCTCTGAAGATTGAGCTGGAGGAATCGAAGGCTGAAGAAGAAGAGCTTCGGTTCCGTCTGGCACTACATCAAGAAAGTCTCGCCATCGCTGACGAGAACCTCGCTGATGTTGAAGATGAAGTTCTTCACATCACCTCTGTTGCAAAGGCCTGGGAGGCCCAAGCCAATGCCACCATTGCTGACCTTCGTTCTCGTATCTCCGTTTCCACCGCTACAGTTAAATCTCGCCATGTCTCCAAGTCTCGTTACCTGGTTCCTCGCGCCAAAGATCCCTATTCCATTAGCAATTGGCGAGAAAGGCCACTTGAAAATGGGTCCCCAAAGCCGGCGTTAAAAGGTCAGCCCCTTTGGTAAAAAATGGCAAACCAAAGGGGCCAGCCCCGCCACCTGTTTCTGTTCTCCCTGCTGCTGCTATGTCTGAGGATAAGATGTCCGAAGACTCTTTCGTTGTCACCTGCTCTATCTCTCAGAATCCCGACTCCTTCGTTCCCACCTATGCTCTTATCGATACGGGAGCATCAGGTTATGCGTTCATCGATCAAAGTTTTGTGAAAAAGCATGGACTCTCCTTGGAACCCCTGAAAACATCACGCCTACTCGAGGTAATTGATGGTAGGCCAGTCAAATCAGGAAAGATTACCCATGTTGCTCGCCTCTTGTTAGATATCCATGGCCATCAGGAAACTACTTTGTTTTTCGTTACCCATCTAAGTCACTATCCGATTGTGATGGGAATGCCTTGGATGCGGCAACATGATGTTACCATTCGACCAAAGGAAAATCTACTCGTTTTTAACTCTCGGAACTGCCGTCAACACTGTTCACTCAGTGGAACGGCGGTTACTGTCCATGGCATATCGATCCCCTTACCAGAATTTCATACAGTTGTCAGCTCAGTAGCTGATAAGTCCACCGTCGAGGTCAAGCAACTAGTACCAAAAGAGTTCCACCATCGTCTCCATATGTTCCAAGAATATGATGCTTCAATCCTTCCACCACATCGGCCGTCATATGATATTGAGATCGTATTGGAGGAAGGTAAACGACCACCGTACGGACCGGTATATGGATTATCCCAGGTTGAATTAAAAGCACTACGAGAATACCTTGATGAAAATCTACCTAAGGGATTTATTCGGGCCAGTGAGTCGCCAGCGGGAGCACCCATACTTTTCGTAAAGAAAAGTGATGGGACTCTCCGGCTCTGTGTGGATTATCGAGGTCTTAATGCAATCACAGTCAAAAATCGATATCCGTTACCATTGTTAAAGGAAACCCTGGCCAAGTTATCAAGAGCACAATACTACACCAAGTTGGATCTACGTTGGGGATATAATCAAATCAGGGTGGCCAAGGGAGATGAATGGAAGACGGCGTTTAGGACTCGTTATGGACATTTCGAGTACACAGTAATGCCATTTGGATTAGCCAACGCTCCGGCCACATTCCAACATTGGATCAATGATATCCTACGACCTTATCTTGACCAATTCGTAACGGCATATCTGGATGATATCCTGATATATTCGGAAACCCTGTCGGAACACAAGGAACACATCCAGAAAGTTTTGAAGGTACTTGATGAGAATCATGTTCACCTTAAGCCTGAGAAATGTGAATTCATGGTCCAGGAAACGAAGTATCTCGGCCTTATTCTCACCCCTGATGGGAATAGGATGGACCCAAAGAAAGTTGTTGATGTTTTAGAATGGTCTATACCAAGGAATGTTCACGATGTTCAGGTATTTTTGGGTTTTGCGAATTTCTATCGACGGTTCATCTTGGGATATTCGAAAATTGTTGCTCCCCTTACAGCGTTAACAAAGAAGAATGTTAAATTCGAATGGACGGATGAAAGGGAGGGAGCATTTCAGACATTGAAGAAGATGTTCACCACAGCACCCATCCTAGCACATTTCGATCCGGATCGAAAAATCGTAATAGAAACCGATGCATCCGACTACGTTTCTGCTGGAATCCTGTCCCAACGCGATGATGAGGGGGTTTTACATCCGGTTGCTTTCTTTTCGAAAAAACATTCCCCTGCGGAATGTAACTATGAGATTTATGACAAGGAACTCCTGGCAATTGTACGATGTTTTGAAGAATGGCGACATCATTTGGAAGGGGCACAATTCCCAATCGAAGTCCTCAGCGATCATAGGAACCTCGAATATTTCATGTCAACAAAGCTATTAAATCGTCGACAAGCCCGTTGGTCGGAGTTTCTTTCACGTTTCGATTTTGTTATTCAATTTAGACCAGGGAAACAAGGGGCAAAGCCGGATGCATTGACTAGGAGGTCGGGTGACCTACCTAAGGAGGGGGATGAACGGTTGACCCATCAGAGTCAAGTGGTGTTGAAGCGAAAAAATTTAGATGCAAAGCTAAGTTTGTTCGCGGGTTCTTTTTCAAATGAATCCGCTGAAGGAATGTCCACTGTAGAAGAGTTGTTTTCAAACGCTTACCAAGTTGACAGTTTCCCGAACAAAGTCCTTGCAATGCTTCGGAATGGCGTCCGTTACTCGAATAAGATTTCGCTTGCCGAATGTACGGAAGACAATAACGGTCGGCTACTTTATCG